ACTTCCCTTTCCCAGGGCGACATCTTTCATCTATGTCATTCGATTTTTAAAAAGTACAAGTTGAGAGAAACTCTGGAAAAATCATTGAGGGAAAATAGCAAAACAATCATGGTACATTTTAAAAAAGACTGGAAAATTTCTTCATTGTTTTCAATTTTGATTTTCTTTTATTTGCTTTTGTAGCTTAATGACATTTTGATAGGAACTACCAAAAATAAGATAAAAATGTGTGAAAACATACAAACGCGCCAGCAATTTTCAATATACGTTTGTATTCCAGTTTTAAATTGCTCTGGCCTAAATATTAATTGTATTACTCTTTAAAATGATTAGACTAATTTTCTATTTCCATTTCTGCCCAAAAGAATACAACTTTTATATATCTATGGCTCCATTTAAAATATATAAGTATAAAAATTTTCAACTTATTTATTTAAGCGACCGAATTGTATAAAAATGTTGCATCAACAAGTGAATTTTATCTGAGGAATTTAAAATTGTTTGATCTTTGACATTTCTTGCCTCATTTAAGGTATAAATATTTTCCTAAAACATTCTAACATTAATCAAAAATTTTCACACCTCCAGCGGAGCAAAACACTGTCCTCTCCCCATTCACCTCCTGTCCAGATCAACAATCCTGAGGGTTTAGTTTCGTTGAATTTGTTTTCCCTGTTTGTGTAAATGTTTCGTATTGTTGACATTTGCTGGTCATGAAAAGTCATTAAATATATTTCTCTAATTTATCTTTCGACTGTGGCAGCCTCGGTGGTGGTAATGGCATTAAAGTAAGTTGGGCAAACTGAAAAGAAAGCGGAAATGTTTGTCTGGCCAGCAATGCTTGGTTTGGGACCTCTGTGGTCTGATCTCCGACCACCCACCAACCCTTCAACCCTTTTCCTGCCCGCTAATTAAAACTAATCCCGAGGAAAGGACCCAGCCATTGAGAGTGTTGTTATACTTTTCGCATAACTGTCAATCAGTCCCACAATTAAATGATTGAAGACATTTCGTCTCTGTGTATCCCTTATATGGCATGTACATTCGAGCTGAATCTTGGGCAATAAAATATATATTTATATGTGGAGTTCGCTTTTTAGTTGGCATGAGCTGGCTTAGTTTGAATGCATATCAAGTGGATGCAGATACAAAATGTTTTCATGAGAAATTGACTTTTTCCATTGCACGACGTCGTCGTCAGATGTCTGTTGGCTGTTGTCTTCCTTTGGCCGGAATGATTAATGGTTCTGCTCTTTGCGCATTCGTCGGCCCACACCAGGGGCAACAAAAAGACATCCAGCAGCTACACATTTGTATCTGCTGTGGCCGTAGCTGTTGCTGTTGCTACGACTGTATCTGTATCTGTATCTTTTTGTGTCGCTGAATGAGAATTTCTACTGCATCGCGCATCAGCATTTGGCGTTTTCAGCTACTGAGCCGCCTTGCCATTGTCTCTCTATTTTTATTATGGCCCATCTATCCCATTTTTGATTGAATTCGCCTCGGTACTTGCAGATACTTGAGCTTATCGCCTGGCCTTTAAAGTTTCAGCCAACCGCAGAGAGCTCACATAATTTAAGGCCAAGTCAAGGCAAAAATTGCCCATCCCCGACTAGAGCGACGACCAAAAGCTACAAGATAAATTGAGGTCATTTTTTGCCAGTGGCCACCTTTGGTCAGTCCGGTGTCCAGTGTCCAGTGTCCAGTGTCCAGTGTCCAGTGTCCAGTGTCCGGGTTCGGGTTCGGGTTCGGGCTCGTATCCACCTTGTTGACCGGCCACAAATGTCCTTAATGTGCATCCTTATGGACTGCGGTGATGTGCAAGTGGTCGAGATGGTCGAGCCCAAAAAATTGCCCTTGCCCAACCACTTACGTAAGTATGCACGAGTAGTTAGCGTTAGGCAAACAGCCACGAGTGTACAATTCATTCTGAAAATTCCCTGCCATGTGAGTGGGGAGTAGATGATTTAGATGCGAAGAACACTAAAAGAAAAAGAATCATCAGAAGCCAGACTTTAATAATGATAATGTGTTTCATTACCAATTATAAACATACTGGCCTAACTGGAACTCTTTTACTCAATTAAAAGAAATCAACAGAAACGAATGTCGTACGCTAAAATTTAATTTCTTATTTTAAGTTTTTAAAAAATAAAAGATAATTGTAACAAGGTTCAGGGTTATTATTAATCAGCATGACTTAATTAATTGTTTAAGATGTAGTCATTTTAGCTACATGACTAGATCAAAGTCGTTTTTCTCTCTGTGTACTGATTTTATTATGCGCTTAAGCAAAAAAACAAGAACATCCGGCTACCTTTGACCATTTGTGCAATTGTTGCAAAATTTACGCTCATTTTAATTTAAGCCCAAAAGAGCGGCAAATGCGTTAAATGTTCCGCTTTTGACCAAACTCTTTACTGCCCTGGCTCCTTGTGTTTTTTGGTGGGTAAGTGCTACCCGAAATAGAAACATAAATCCTGCCCTTCAGCAGGAGAGGTGGCGAGAGAAAGGTCCTGTTAGTGGACAACGAGTGCGTTTAAGTGTTAACATGTAAATGATGCTGCTGAAGCAGTTAATAAGTGTATGCCAAGGGCTGTAAATCATCAGTGGCGTTTCCTTTCCATAGAAATTAATTTTATTTGCAGACCACCACGAAGATTTACGAGCAAATAATAACCAAGTGATGATTGCGAGTATTAAACTTGAGGAGCTCTTTTCCTCCCACCAAATTACACTGCCTCGTAACCTAATCCAAAGGCAGCTGCAAAGTATCCTTCGCTCGTAGTTTGCTGATAAGTTTCCATTTCGACTTTTCCGGCATTTCATCCATGCTGATGACATTTCCAATGTCTCCCCAGCCCTCTGGCCATGACAAAACAAAATTCATTTTGTAATTTCCAAGCCACCTAGAAAAGGCCAAAACCAGCCAGCTGTCATTTGGTTGGGGCTGGATTCCATTTTGACCAGGCTGCAGAAATTGCACTCTACTTGGCTGCCTTGCATCTTTCCCACTCCCGCCTTCCGCCCTCCGCCCTTCGCCTACCGCTCACTGCCCCTCTGGCACTGCCACGCCCTCTGCTCGATTCGGGTTTAGAAAATTATCTTTTTGCTCGTCGTCGCCAAAAAGGAAATCATATTTTCTGCTTTTGTGCACTTTACTTTTCAGTTTTCGTTGGCTGCCGTTGGCTGCCTCCAGTTCGCTCGTAAACAGTTTTCGGGTGCAACTTTTGTGCGAAATTTATGCTTTCATTCCGTATCTGTATCTGGGCACTTTTCGCACAAGTACATGCGACTTGGGGCTGGGAAATGGGCAACGACGGGAGATGGGAGGTGGGATATGGTGGCCCCACCAGGTGGTGTTTATGGCATCCGCTCTGCGAGTATTGATGAAGGAACTCGTGCTCGCATCTGTAATTCAATCAGTGTCTATGTCTGGCTCCTCGTCCTCGTCCTCGTCCTCGTCCTCGTCCTCGTCCTCGTCCTCGTCCTCGTCCTGCTACTGCTATACTGCTATACTGCTACTGCTCCTGCCCGCATCCTTTTCCTTCCGCCATTTGCCGCTATTGAGACTCTGTTTACGCAGCTCGTTCAGCTGGAAATTTCACGCTTGTTGCCAAAAGGCGAACAGACGAAAAAATACAAAAATATTTTGCAATCGCATCAATGCAAATAAGGTGGCAGAAGTTCGACGGCAAGAAAAGGTAGCAAAATGTTCTGTTTCCTAAAATGATATGCGCATTACTTTGCGAGTTTTATTTGACGAAATTTATTTTCGGCGAGTCTATGTGCTGGGCCATTGAAGCATAAACAACTTTTGCTGATCTCTATCATTAGAACTTGTTTAAGTTGGCAAAGGTAGATGGTTTAAGTTTAAAAATTATTATAACTAGAGTTTAAAAACGATTCGGACAGCTTTTAATTCAAGGGTGTAAATTGTATCCAACATTTGGTTTATTATAGGATGGCTGTTAAAATAGTTAAGGCATCTAAAGAAAAAGAAATTTTGTTGAATTTGTTATTTTATATTAATTGCTTTTGATTTGTAAATACATTTAAATTGTATGCTTTCATATAATTAAATGAGAAATGTACTAAGAATTGTAATGACACTTAAGGGCATTATGCACAACATTTACCAAGATTAATCTAATCGAAATACAAAAAAGAAAAAATAAATCATTTGATAAAATAAAATCAATCTATAGTTATTTGGTACATCTACATATTTTAAAATCTTTTGGATGCATTCATTTTAAATAATCTTAAAAGGAAATGTAAATTGTTTATTACCCATTGATCTTTGCAAGATCAAGTGAGATGTGCTTATGCACAAAATATATTAAATTATATACTTTATACACTTGTTTTAATTTAGATTAGTATAAATGCTGACCAAATTAATTACATTTTTTTATTGTCAAAAAAATTAAATTAATTTTCTGTTTGTTATTCAAATAAAGATTTTCCCCCAATCTCCCTGGCAGCTATTTTCCAAGAGGCTTCTGTTCGGTAGCCGAACTACTTGAGAGCCCTGCTGTGGGCACGTCGCTCTCTCACTGATTGATTGATTAGATTTTTGTTAATTACTTAACGCTCGAGTTGCTAGTGTCGCGTCTCAGCGGCGAAGAAAAAACGTTGAAAACGGGGAACTTTATTTACCGCGCGGCATCAGCTGCACTTTTCGGCAGATATGTTTGCTGGAGAATCTTGAAAGTTTTCTTATCTAGTTGGGTGAATTTCGCTGAATTAGTTATGCCCTCTGACGAGCAGATAGATTGATTACGGGCGGAGATAGAGAGGTGGAATCCTTGAAGCCGGAGTCTCACTGCGAATGCAATATGTTGACGCATGTTCCAGGGCCACGCCCACACGGGGACATGTTGAAGGGGAAAACCCTCGACGAATAAATAAAAAAAAAATCGAAAAAATTCACATTCACTCTGCAAGTCTCAAACGAACAAAATGCAATTTCTCAATTGCAGCTGAATTCGTTCCAGAAAACGGCCTGCCCCGACGACTCCGCACCGCGTACACCAACACCCAGCTGCTGGAGCTGGAGAAGGAATTCCATTTCAATAAATATTTATGCCGCCCAAGGAGGATCGAAATAGCAGCCAGCCTGGACCTCACCGAGCGACAGGTGAGTGCTCGCAATGCAATTTATTCCGCTGCATTCGTACATGTCCGGAGAATTCCATTACTCCGCTGACAAATTGCTTGTGGGCAAGGGCCGTGTGTTTCTTTTCCCTCGATTTTCCCACTTTTAATTGCACACACACCTTGACGGAAGTCGAACTGATCCCATTTTGGTTGCAGGTAAAAGTTTGGTTCCAAAACCGCCGCATGAAGCACAAGAGGCAAACGCTCTCGAAGACCGACGACGAGGACAACAAGGACAGCCTCAAAGGTGACGATGATCAGTCCGATAGTAGTAAGTAAAAACATATTTACACCAATATATTATATTGTTAAAATTGCATATTAGTTCTAAGTGAGGAAATGGATTTAGTTTACTAAAAATGGCTGTCAATGCGGGTCGATTTGAACCGAAATATTAACTTAGAAAGCCGAGACTGGGAGAGCACTTTAGTGACATTTTTACATATCATTTCAAATGTTGCATAACACAAAACTACACATGAAGAAAACATTAGAATTTTCGATAAACGATTTGCTGATAAAGGCATTATAACAACTTTACTGACCAATTTATAAAAATATTCATTTAAATTCTCTTATTATACTAAAAATCCAAAATGTCAAAAATATGTTTCCTAAATTACTCTAGCCAAATGAAAAACACAACAAAGTCTTGAGAATTTAAAATTGCTTGCATTTATAAACTGACTTTTTAATTTAACAAAAACTTAGAAATTCGATTCTTACTTTCTTTTTTCACGATGATAACTTCATTTGTTTTTTATAAATTATTTTATATAATTTGTATAAATTAAAAAAAAATCTAATTGCGTATAGTTTCTCTCTTATTTATTTTGACAAACTTATACAAGTTTTAAGTTTGGCAGGTTTTGTTTTATTTTCGAGTTACCAAAAGGATTGAGATACCAAAGAAAACTGTACCAAAAATGGAACTCGCTCTCGGAGTTTACCAACAAGTTGTTCCACTTTTACTTTTTCGGTTATGCATGGTTTCGTTTTTGAGGCTTTTACGCCGAAGTACGAGATGGTGTAGCTTATCAATCATTGTCAGAGGATGGGATGGGACGGAACGACTTTTGGCAGGGCCCTCGACGTGCTAACCCCTTTCGCGTGAGAGTTCCGACTTTGGTTCTCGACGCTCCCCTCTCGCCAGTCAGCCAGTCCTCCACTTACGAAAACAAATCATCAATATTCTTGGCCATATACCAACTGATTTACTTTTATCTTACCTTCCCGTGAAATTCAGACTCCAATTCGAAGAAATCGTGTCAAGGCTGCGAACTGCCCTCCGACGATATACCCGATTCCACGTCCAATTCCCGGGGCCACAACAACAACACCCCGAGCGCCACCAACAACAATCCGAGTGCTGGAAGTCGTAAGTTAGCATATAAACAGAAATAAAAATCAGTAAGATTTAAAATAACACTTTCAAAATCACCAGTAACACCCAACTCATCCTTGGAAACGGGCATCTCATCAAACCTTTTGGGCAGCACCACAGTATCCGCATCGAATGTGATCAGCGCCGACTCCAGCGTGGCATCTAGTGTTAGTTTGGATGAGGACATCGAGGAGAGCAGCCCCATCAAGGTGAAGAAGAAAGACGAAGGACAGGTGAGTCAGCTATGGCTACTAAATAGTCATTTTTTGGCAGAAGAAAGTATATATTTCTTTGGTGAATAAGACATATTGAAAATGCAACGAAATACAACAAGTACTAAATACATCAACTACACATCAATAGTTTCCATTAGATACTCCATTCAAAAATGTAATGTATGTATGTCTTCTTAAAATTAAAAAATTTTAGTTTTTCAGTTTCTTTTCCTATCTCATGTTAAAATGTAGTTAAGGAAAATACAAATTTCAAAACCACGGCTATGTATTTAATTTATTTCAAGTTGGTTCAGTAATTTTAACCAACGTTTTTTGACATGTGCAAAAATGCTAAAAAGTTTAACATATCGTTACATTCTTAAATTTTCAATCTTTTAGTAAACGGTGAAATCTAAATGTGTTCGTAAGACGATTAACAAATTTGTTTCAACTTGTGGTTAAATTATCAAACAAAAGATTAACCTGAAGATATATGTCTTGTCAAATATTCTATTCCATATTAGAGCAGTTTTTGATTGAAGAGCAGTATTTATCAAGGACTCAAATTAACTATTGACTTTTGTGAGAGACTTTTGCTTGTAAAAAATTTTAATTCATCAAAAGAGAAACATGCCTGATGATAGTTATTAAAAATAAACATTCAAATCCATAACTCTCCATTAGTTGAACAAGTTGCATTAGCAGCAGAGAGTTTAAATTAAATTAAAAGTTTAGAAATCCTTTATACCGTAAAATAGTGGCTTATGTATGTATGGTTGCATTCCAAGTTCCATTTTTTTAACCTACTATGGCTTTGCTACAGGTCATCAAAAAGGAGGCGGTGTCCACCTCGTCCAAGGCCTCGCCCTTTGGCTATGAAAACTCCACACCCAGTCTGGTCAGTTTTCGACGGGACTCGGATGTCGCCGCCGTCGGGAATGCACCCGCCAGTAAGGCGGGCGGCAAAAAACGCTTTCAGAGTGCGGCCAACGCCATTGCCACGCCCACGCCACTGACGGACAGCAGTAGTGGGAATGGAAACGGGAATGGGGGTGGTGGTGGCCCAGCTGGCGGCTATTTTCCAGGTTACTATCCCAGTCCCAAGCAGCAGCAGCAAATGCAGCAGCAGCAGCAACTGCATCCGCAACAGCAGCAGCAGCCGCAGGACTATTACGGCAAATACGACATCGAATTCGCCGCATCGCCGCACCACAATCCGCACAACAAGCAGCAGACGCTGCACGGCGAGTATCTGAGTCCCAAGCCAAGTGCGGCCAACTTCCATCAAAACAGTCAGCATCAGCAGCAGCAGGAGCAGTTTTACTACAACTACAACGATACCAACGGCAGTGCGTACTTAAGCCACCAGCAGCAGCAGCATCACCAACAGCATCACCAGCAACAGCAGCATCATCATGTAGCCGACTTTGAGGCGCCCGTCAACGGACCGAGCAACTTCAACAATGGCGCCTACTACGACAACATGAGTTTTCAACAACAGGCCCAGGCTCACCAACACCAATCGGTTGTGTTTCAGCAGCAGCAGCCACACCAGCAAGCGGCGGTTAATCACCAGTGAGTAGCGAAATATTTTTAACAATAATATTACTAATTTAAATTAAATTAAGTTTTATTAAATGGTTTGGCAAACACAAATTCACGGCTTAATCTTATATATTTTATCCATGCCGGATAAAAGGAAATCGTAGCTATTATTTAAGTTCTACCCACATTAACCCTTGAACTTTACGGTCAAACTTTAATATACTTAAGGAATAAGATAATAGACACGTTAAAATCAAATAATAGAGTAAAGGGCAAAATCTTAAACTTTACTGGATTTCATTAAAAACTAAATTAAGAGTGGGGAATATTAAATTTAATTACAACTCTGATTTTGAGAGACAGAACGAAGAACATGTTACTGAAGTAAACTCTTAGCTTCTAGTGCTGGCAACGCAGTTCGACAGATGGCGCCACAAAGACCCGGATTGTATATGCATTTTCAACTTAACATGGTTGTTGTCTTTGCTACCCACAAAGTGTGAAATGTTCCGACAGTATAAAAGTAACAAGTACACAAGCTAGTTCTCTACATTAATGATATGTCTAATACACAAACCATTTGTTGTAGTAATCGTACTGGCCGAGTAGGTGGCGCCAACTTTTAGCTCAGTTAAGATTTTTTTCAAACGCCTCTGTTAAGAGTCTTAGCCTTAGTTAGTTTTTTTATTTTAACGAAGTAAATAATTTTGTTGGGTAATTTTACCGCCTGAGCTTAACAATAGGCTTGTCCTATAACAATTTTTACCATTACCCCAAAAAATGAACTATTTGTTAGGCATCCAAATTAGTTACCAACTGACTAACAACTTATTTAAATCCCCAATATAGTTTTCGGCAAAAAACACATCAAATGACTAAAACATTGGCTCTATTTATCTTCCCACAGGCACATGCATCACCTGGGCGCTGGTGAGACCTATAGCGCTCTAGGCCTGCAGATGGAGAACTGCGAGGGCTACAACAACTTCGGGGGCGCCGCCAGCGGTGGGGGGTACTACGAGGTGGGTCAGCAACCCCCCGGTCCAACCACCCACGGCCATGGCCACCACCCCCACCACCACGTGCAGGTGCCGGCGCAGGCGCACCCCCACGTGCATGCCCACCACAATTCAGCGGCGATTCCCGCAGGAGTGGGCGTGGGACCGCCGCCATCGCACATCCATGGATTCGCACTCAACGGGGGAGCACCTGGTCAGGGTCAGGGATTCGGAAACAATGGGGGGACTGCGGCTGGGACCGGGACTGCGATCGGTGGCCTGGAGAACTCGAATAGCTCGGACTTCAACTTCTTGAGCAATCTGGCCAACGACTTTGCGCCGGAGTACTACCAACTCAGTTAGTTCATGTAGGAAGTGAGCCAGAAGGCAGTGTAAATATATCTTAGCCTAATTCGCCGAGCGGGCGTGAGTCTTGTAATTCTATTCAGTGTCGTAGTCTGTTAAGCACTTTGTCCGTAGCACATATCTGTATATACTAAGCTAAAGACTCAAATCTAGACAGGAGTTCTATTCCACGGCTACGATCCGATTCTAGGATACATAAAACGAAAATGTCTTGATTTCGCTTTGGCTTCAAGTCAAGCGGAATGGCTATCTTAAAAATTCCATTTAGAATAAAAGAAGAACCGAAATTGTATATAGTTAGTAAAATTAAAATACTTTTACGCAAGTCCTAATCAATGAATATGGAATACTGAATTACCTTTTATTAAATGTGTTTTGTATATATCTGAAGTAGCCTAAATCAAAACGTAAAAACAAGCCGTCATTAAATCTAAACAAAAACTAGGAATAAATATTTGGATCGCCCACGATTCAAGTGCAATTTCTCTATAAAAGAACTTGATTTAGAATCCAAAGCCACTCTCAATTATTTCAATGTTTGTCATGTTTGTGTGTTGCTTCACATTTCCCATAATATTAAACAAATATATATTATAATATAATTATGATTATAAATATTGTCTTAGATAACTTTGTAAGGAGAAAGAATAAAAACTAACTAAGTATGAACCATTTTCCTAGTACCTACGCTCAGAGTACACAAATCTAACAATATTCGAGTGTGATTGCTTTGAGGCGTGCGAGGGGTTGGAGAAGTGTTAACATTTTTCACCTCTTTTTATGCATTTTATTTTATGTTTTTTTTTTTTCAAATTCAGCTCTTGTCTTACTACCAAGAAATTTTGGTTTGCAAAGCAGTGATGTCGGTTCTATCGCTTTTTAAACGTACCAAATTTCTTATTTCTCTATAATCGAAAGTGTATATTTCACTGCGTTGCTCACTTCTGATAGAAATTATAAGGTATAAATGGTATAAAGTTATTTAAACGCAAGGCGGCAAGGTAACAGGTATGCACATTTAATACACTTATTCCATTGGCACATTCAAACGCATTTAGCCTAATGTGACATTTGTTTACACAGGAACTCCCATAAGATAAAGGGCAGCATTTAAGACAAATGCAATAGGAGTTGGAGTTTTTTTTAGGTTACACCGGCTTACATCGGCTAATTATCACCTAAATAAATGAACTAGCTGTCACATTTCGGAACGGCAAAACCTTATGGACAATCCTTTCAACGGATGGTGGATGGATCTCTGTGGGAATGGAATCAGACACATTTAAAAAGTCAAAGGAATCAGGCTATATGTTGTTTATATTTACATATATTCATTTATTCATTGTTTTTAATTTTCAGTTGATAGTTCGAAAACCGTCAGTGGCAAGCTGAGAAAACCCCATCGAACTGCTTTAAATCCGTCATCATTCAACTCCTCTGAATTTACTGCCAATAAAATCAGCCGCAACCTAAGGTTTTGCTTTGGGATATCACTGTCTCACTTTCAAAAGGCAAATGCATCCCCCTACGCTTTTTGACCAACGGCAAATTCTGTTGTCCTGGGTAGCACACTTGTCCGTCAACGTTAACGTGAAGAAAAGGCCGAGAATTAGGAAACCGAACTGCAGAGAAATCATTGTTGTTTCTGGATTTACAAGTTTTTCTGCGATTTTTAAAAGCTTTAAAATTGCGACGTGTCTTGATATCATTTTTATACCTTTTGTGGAGTGTAGCGAATCAAACATTGTATTGAAGATTTATTTTAATTCATTTTGTTAATAAGAAATTTCGTGCCCTTTTTACGCTTTCAGAGTATATATTAACTGTGGCGAAAAGTTTGTTGAACACTAGCACATTGAAAATATAAGTGCAAAAATATTAATAATAAAGAAAATGGTTGTTTTTAATTTTTATATAAAATATCAAAAAAATAAACGCCATATTTAAGCAAGCAATTAAACTCCAGAAAGTCAACTTCTTAAAAACTAACTGTGGTCTTTTATGTAATAAAAATTATAAAAGAGCTCATATAAGTAATTTATTCATATGAAAATACCCAAATTAACGAAAATCCATTGCTTTCCAGTCAAGCATTGACCAAATTTTTAAACCAATAAATAACTGCAACAAATTTAAAATTTTTTTTAAATTTAATTAAACAACATTAAAAAGAATGTGAAGTTAATGCCAATTTCATTTAATTTGTTTATGTTTACAAAGAGATTACAACAATAAACGATTTAACTGAGTCTGACAGCTAGACAAACCAGTTTCGAATGACATGCATTCTAGCGCGTCATGGTGGATTCATGAATGGGAATATAAATACAAATTAGGAAAGCCCGCAACTCAGATCCGTTAGACAGAAGTTGAGACTTGGCAAAAAAGCAACCGGAAGCCAACCGACCACGTGCTAAAGCCACAAATCTAAAATTGCCATAGGTATATCCGTGACATACTTATATAATATAAGCATACTTACTTCACATCGATCCGATTATGATTTATTATTCGCTGATAGGGTTGGTCAATTTCCAGAGCTGAATCGAATCGTAGCGGGTGTAGCAAATGGAGCACTAAATGGAATGGAACGATTGAAAGAAAAAATTCAATTAGTGTTTAAAACTCAAAATTTGGAATTTCAATGTCGCCGCCGAATTCAGTTAATTGGCCACACACCAACTTGACTTGAGCCCTCATAAACCAAAAATAATTAAATTGTATCTGAAACTTGAAAGGAAATTTGCACCAGGCAAAATTTATCCTTAGAGCCGGATACGAGTGAAATACACTATTTAAATGACGAATATATGTTTATTTTTAGGGGTCGTTCGTAAAACTATAACAATAAGGGGCTGTGCTAATGGGGCATGGCAGTTCTTAGTGGTGGTAGGCGACAGCAGGGGCGGCGTACGAAGTGTAGGTAGCGGGGGCGGCGTAGTGGGCCACTGGAGCCACAGTCTTCACCACAGCAGGGGCGGCATAGTGAGCAACTGGAGCCACGGTCTTGACCACAGCGGGGGCAGCATAGTGAGCCACTGGTGCCAAGGTCTTGACCACGGCAGGGGCGGCGTAGGAGGTGTAGGCAGCGGGGGCGGCATAGTGAGCCACTGGAGCCACGGTCTTCACAACGGCAGGGGCGGCATAGTGGGCAACGGGAGCGGCGATGGTCTTCACCACAGCAGGGGCAACGGCGACGGCCTTGACCAGGGGCTCACGGTTCACCACGGCGTTGAATCCGTTGATGGGGTCGGCGGTGTACTGGACGGTCCTCTTGTAGCCATCGGCGTCGATCAGGGAGTACTCTCCGCGGACCACATCGCCGTCGCGCTCCTCCACCTGTCCCTTGTTGTCGCCGGTCAGCTTGTCGTCGACTCCGTACGAGAAGCGGTACTGGGGATGGGGGTCGTACTCCTCGGCGGCCTTGACCACGACCTTCTGGGCCACGGCCACGGGGGCGTGGGCGTAGGTGGCCACCGCTGGGGCGGCGTGGTACACCTGGGGGGGCGGCGATGGGGGCGTAACCGGCGCTGGCCACGGCAACGAAGGCGAGGGCGAAGACGAACTGGAAGAGGGATTGGTTAGTCTGGCTGGGATAAAGGATGTGATGTAGGCTCACCTTGAATGCCATTTTAGGAGTTTATTTTTTTTGGTTTGTGGGTTAGTTCTTTGCAGAAACGGTGCTGGGGGCTGAATGATGTGGCTTCTGGCCTGGCCCGCGGTTTTATAGCCCGCGCTTGCACTTTCGGCTCAGGTGAGGTAAGGTGCTTACGCTTGGCCTTCTGAATATCATGCTCCGAATTAGCGCGAAGTCACCGCTCTGCGAAGTCAACTCGACTTCGACGCTGGCCGAGAAGTCGGCAGAGGGCCAAGGGAGGAGACGCGGTTGTCGAATGCAGAGTGCAGTCCAATTATTTAGAAAGGATTCGGCGGGATTTCCCTGCTGCCAGGTGCCCACGTACGAAATGGTAGTTGTGAAATGATTGCATCTGCTAATAGTCGCTCCAATTAATCGCAGATCTTCAAAGGATGGGATTGGGGATGTGTGATAATGCTGGGTGGCCTTCATTTCCGCGGATTGCGTAAGTGCCGAAATGTGTCTTATATAATTGGAATGAAAGAGTGATTCTGTAAATTCGACATGTAAAAGATTGAATCACCAGTAAATCAAATTTATAAAGTAATTGAGGTAACCTCATTCTGAAATTACATATTCATATTTGTAATCGAAAGCGACGAACATATTCTTAAGTAAAATAAAATAAAATAGTTCATACTGTGGTGAGCCTGATAAATTTCAATTTAAAATTTAGAAATATACTTTGTTTTTAAATATTAAAAAGTGTGATTTTAAATTAAAAGTAGATTTTAAAAACAATAACAAAGAAATAAATAATTATTTAAAAGACCTTTTAGGTTGATAATTTAAATGTTTCAGTATTTTAAAAAATAATGATTAATTAATGTGAATATTTATTAACGCCGGCTAAAAGAGCATACAACTTCGTGAAATTCTCAAAATATATATATTTTTTTTTGCAGTCCATAAATAAAAAGTTTGTTCAACCTTCTTCGAAAACGAACAACAAATTTTCAAAGTTACATAACGTATACAAGATTAAAAAACCGTTTGGGTTATAATCATTTAATCTAAAGAGTATTACGCAAATCCTAAGAAGATTATAAAAGAGCTTACGTTCAGAACATGGATCAAAGATACGAAAAACAAGCTAACTGAAATGTTTGCTTACTCTTCTAATGGAATAAAAGTAACAAATTATTAAACCAGTACAATCGGGCGATCTAGTCAAATAATTAGACAAACATTCAGCCGGACCAAGCCCTTTTCTTTTGAATCACACCTTTCGCCGGAGATCTTTCACTCCTCTGGCGCAGACGGGTTAGAATCTGCGGTCAAGAGCATTTGCACACCCACAGAGCTTAGCGCCACGAACAGGAAGTACAAGTTATTGCCCGACAACAATCGCAGTCGAGAAACATTAAATATATTTCGCTGTCACCGCGAAAATAACGCTCGCTGCCAGCGGATTGGGCCAAAGCCGAGCAGAGCTGGCAGCTTGATTTACTATAAAAGTTGTCGATCAGGCCCAGAAAAGTATCATTCGCTGATCCAGTTCACTTCTGTAAAGAACTACCAATCAGCACTCCCAGCAAAATGGCCTTCAAGGTGAGTCACCTCAGCGGGAATCCGGGATCACCTGCAAACATTTGGATGCCGACCTAACGCTCATACCTTTCAGTTTGTCTTCGCCCTCGCCTTCGTCGCCGTGGCCAGCGCCGGTTACGCCCCCATCGCCGCCCCCCAGGTGTACCACGCCGCCCCAGCAGTGGCCACCTACGCCCACGCCCCCGTGGCCGTGGCCCAGAAGGTCGTGGTCAAGGCCGCCGAGGAGTACGATCCCCATCCCCAGTACCGCTTCTCGTACGGAGTGGACGACAAGCTGACCGGCGACAACAAGGGACAGGTGGAGGAGCGCGACGGCGATGTGGTCCGCGGAGAGTACTCCCTGATCGACGCCGATGGCTACAAGAGGACCGTCCAGTACACCGCCGACCCCATCAACGGATTCAACGCCGTGGTGAACCGTGAGCCCCTGGTCAAGGCCGTCGCCGTTGCCCCTGCTGTGGTGAAGACCATCGCCGCTCCCGTTGCCCACTATGCCGCCCCTGCCGTTGTGAAGACCGTGGCTCCAGTGGCTCACTATGCCGCCCCCGCTGCCTACACCTCCTACGCCGCCCCTGCTGTGGTCAAGACCGTGGCGCCAGTGGCTCACTATGCTGCCCCCGCTGTGGTGAAGACTGTGGCTCCAGTTGCTCACTATGCTGCCCCCGCTGTGGTGAAGACTGTGGCTCCAGTGGCCCACTACGCCGCCCCCGCTGCCTACGCCTCCTATGCCGCCCCAGCCCACTATGCCGCCCCAGCTGCCACCTACACCTCGTACTCGGCTCCCGCCGTGGCCTACCACCACTAAGTCCTGGCTGAAATCGACGTTGTACATAGAATTGTTGGCTTTATTATTACTGTACATTTATTTATTGACAGCAGCAATAAAAAAATGCATACACGTATGTAGACATATCATGAAAGCAAGAGTGTTTTGAGATGTTTATTGAGAAGGAGATTTCTCGCAAAGGACCCTCAGAGGTCGTTCACATTGTCCTGATCTGGTTTGCATTATTTATGTGCTTGTTTTGCGAACGAGTTCTGTGCCTGTTTAGCTTGCGAAAAAGTTCACAGACATCATAGGAGCAATCCTCGCCAACGGATTTCTGCAGTCTTAGAGCAATGCAATGCGAGTGGTGCAGTCTGGACTTTTGTTTCGCGATCCTTTAAGGATGCTCCCAGGGCAACGAACTGCGTTGGCCTGCTTGATGATTCCGATACCCATACGGATCCTGATCACAATCCCTCTGTCTGTCTGTCTGTCTGTTTGTCTGTCTGTTTGTCTGCCTGGGCTTTGTGTCGGTCATTTCCATTTGAATGGAAGGACTCGTCTACCGCAAGGCACAGAGAGTCCCTTTGTTGTTGATTTTTGTAATATAAAACGGAAATTATGGGGTCATGACTCTGCTTGCCGGGTGATAAATGGTCTTACAACTCATCGGGGGAGCTGAAAACCTAAAATCAGTTTGTTTCTAGTTCGGTGCTGCATTTTCCCACAGCACTCTGCTCTACTAGTGCAGAATCTGGGGCTAGACAGCGCACACCTGTTGTTTGTTCTACAGAACACTTCTGGACGCTGAACTCAAAGTTCTGGAGGGGCCCTTCAAGGTCAGACTCTGTCCGTAATCTCAGCTAGCCAACTGCTTCCCTCGACATCACCCTTTTCCAAAGCCAAAGTCCGACTAATCAAGTGGAAGATTTCTGATTTTGGGTGCTTCTCGTCGTCGATACGCAACCGAAACCCTTCTCAACTTCACCATCGTCATTATCATCCAGAGAGCAGCCAACAACAATGCGAACTGACAATGCAACCGGACAAAAACAGAAAGCACAAGCCCAAGAAAAACAAAGGGAGCTGGGGAAAAAGCCAGAAAACAACCCGATGAAGTGAGTTGAAGGATCGTCGAACCTCGACAGGGGTAAACAGGCTTTCGATCCCCGGCATTCGTATAAATAGTGGCCAGGGGCTCCTAGTTGGCTCATTCAGTGTTTTGTGTTGAGTCCGAGAGGTTCAGGATCAGGAGCAGCTTGCGATCGCGCCTTGGGGTCAGTTAGACCAATAAAACTATTAAAAACTCGTCTTTGGATACCGTTCTTCAGGATTCAGCCTGCATGCAGACCCCTTATGGCAGATATGTTGAGGTAAATCAAAGAATTGCACAGCTCAAGAAAATAATGTTAACAATGTTGGTTGGTATCAACATAGTTGATAGCCCAATAAAGAAAACTAAGGAAAAGTATTTGCCATACTGTGAACAAAGATCTTGTATACGTATTTGCATAAATTGTGCGCACCTTTGCTTTTCCTTAGCTGCTTAATAATAATCTCAGTTTCTTGCAGGTTTTATCTTCTGTGTATCAGCCTGGCAGCTGTTTACTAAAATTAATAGCACAAAAATGACAATGATGTAGTTTCCACATCCCAAATCAACATCCAGTTGTCAATAATGACAGCCCGGACCCGTCCAAAAACCAAAAGCTACGGCTCTATCTGGGCTTGCACCTGGCCAGAACACCTATTGGCACTCATCACGGAACATTGAATCGTTGGAAGGCCGCACAACACCGCACTTCAGCCATCCACCACCCATCCATCCATCACCCACCAAACGTCGTCTCGGCCCTTTGGACAAAATTTACATTTGAGTTTAAGTTTAGGTGTAAACAATAAACAAAAAACAACAATAGGCTACCAAAAAAAGCGAAAAATCCAATCAAGTGTTTGTTTTTCCTGGGCGTATAAAGTATTTGATCCGGTTATAAGGATGACGAATAGGAACTTTTCTAGAATGGTTACCGAAATGAAAATTTATCTGATTAAAAATGTACTGCTATAAAATAGTTTCCCAACGTATAAGCTGTCTTAATAAACTTCGATTGGTAAACAAACATTGTTCTGTATGAAAGAGTTTGCATAGGCTTATGGAGCATTAAAACTTGTTCCGAGAATTTTGTAATTTTTGGTATAAAGCATCAAATATAACGATCCTTGACACACCCTTAGCTAATGCTTCGCTGGTCACCTCCCTTGACTTTTACTTTGCAGTGTGATCTTAAAAATAGTTCAACAAATGGACACAAATATTTCGTTATTATCTTACAAGAAAGGCCGCAGTGCGAACAATAATTTATGTGTATCAAGGTCAGGCCCGGCAGCAAAGCCTATAAACTATTACTGTGGCACCGTATGTGAGCCGATTGCCACCAGATACCAGATACCATATACCAGATATCCAGCAAACAGTCAGCAGATTTCAAAGGTGGTCGTCAGGTGCTGTTGCTGATGGTGTAGTGGCTACTGCCAAAAAATGAGACCTGAAGAAAACGGTAAGTGAACTGGTTTCTGTGCAAGTTTAATTGGCATTATTCGAGTCGCCGGCTGGACAGCGTTTACTTCGCATTGTAATTCACATAAACTATTTCCAGCTTAACCCTTGGTAAATTGCGCTCGCCGATGATTAAGCCAAACAAATGCCGGTGCTCAAGTGTTCAAGTGCTCGAGTGTTTCTGTTTCCCTCAGAAATTAAGCAAACTAAATTGTAATTAAGAGAGGTTTTTTCAACAGTTGTCCAATAGTGGCAATGTCTTCGAGTTAGCCGCCGTTGACGGTCAGCAGGCTACTGAAGTGATTACTTTTATTATTTTCAATACAAATTCGTTCCGTTGGAATTTTTTAATTCAACGCAGCAGCATTGACCTCCCAGCTGGAAATGTGCCTGGTCAGGGGTGTCCGCTCGGTGGAGTGGTCTGCTAATTAAATTAAACCAACCTGACGGCTACCCCCTCTTCCTTCGGTCTGGCCTATCCTTCGGGGGATACGCATTCTGCTGCGGGCAGACATTATTTAGGTTTTAGCCGGCACTCGACATCGACATCCGGACACCCAAACAGCTCAACCAATTTCCAGCAAACACTCGGCACGGTGATCAATCTTAAATTTTCACCGCTTCTGTCAGAAATGTGCGTAGTCGACGACATAGGACGACATAGGACGGCATTGGCATCATGTGGCTTAGTTGTCCTGGTCCAGCACCTCTCTCACAAATACCTTAAAACGTTGACAGGCAAAACCCAAAATGCTGGTTGACGAATGAGGCCGAGGCGGGTGAGTTTTCTCTGGGGAAAGCTGCGAAAATGCCGTCTGCCGACTGCGCCCGAAAAACTCTGCAAATGAAGCATGAATGTCGGCACTTTCTCTAATAAAATAAAATATATGTTCTTGCATACCATTTGTACGTTCAAGGATCTACCGCTTGCCGAAGGTCCGACGGTTGGTGAACTATTACTCAGGGAGCTGCCTAGACAGGGATGAGCCCCTTTCATTCATTATTTATGGTATCGCTATAGCTAAATCTTTTTTACAGTTCTCTTCGTGTAAATAAAAACAAACATTTAGAGAAAGAAAATAATTTCCGAGGCGTTTAATTTAAATGTAAGCATCCAATTTCATATTTTTATACCCTTGCAGAGGGTATTACAGTTTCTGTCAGAAGTTTGCAACGCAGTGAAGAAGATATCTCCGACCCTATAAAGTATATATATTCTTGATCAGCATCACTAGGATCTAGCCATGTCCGTCTGTGCCATTTTGAAATTGGATGTTTAGAAGAAAAGTTATGGAATTAAAACTGAAGGTGTTGGGTACCTTTTTTAAAATAGTTTTTTTTCGGAATTTAATTTCGTAAAAATATCAACCCAAACTTTCAAAACAGAATTTAAATGCAAATTTTAGAAGATTAAACAACAAGTCTTTGAAGATATACAACTTTGAAATCGGATGCGTGAAATACAAGTTATGGATTTAAAACTGCAGGTTTTTGGTCACTTTTCTACAAAGTCGATTTTTTTGTATTATTAGGAAGGTGTTAATCATAAAAATGACAAAAAGTTGACCAGAAATTACAAACCAATTTTTAAACGCAGAGTTTTAGAGACTGAAGCCCCAATACGTTAAAGATATGCCATTTTGAAATCGAATTTTTTTCAGAATAGTTAAAACTGAAGGTTTTTGGTAATTTTGTATGCCCTTGCAGAGGATATTATAATTTCAGTCAGAAGCTTGCAGCGCAGTGAAGGAGACATTTCCGAACCTATAAAGAATGTATGCATTTTTTATCAGCATCACTAGGAGAGTCGATCTAGCCATGTCGTATGTCCGTCCGTCTGTCCGTCCGTTTCCACGCAAACTAGTCTCTCATCTATAAAGATATCTGCATGAAACTTTCCCAAAAGTTGTCTTTCTATTGCAGGTAGTACATAAGTCGGAACGAGCCAGATCGGACGACTATAGCGTAGGAACAATCGGAAAAATAAATGAAAAAATTATTATAAGTCTATAATTTCATAAAAACGGACGACTATAACATTAAAGCTCCCATGGCAATAGCTGCAAGGGTATATGAACTTCGGCTTTCCGAAGTTTGCTTCCTTTCTTGTTTTTATTTAACGATTTACTTGCGTATGCGGACTTACGAAAACATTGCAATAATGTTGAACCACCACCATTTTTTGTTTAAAGAGCCTAAGGTAAAGTTTATTACAAAGTTGTTATGAGTTGTTAGGTTGCGTTGAGGACTGCAAGCTATTTGCCGTTTTTAACTAAACTTTAATCTTATTTAAACATAAGTGTCGATCTATCAGATAAAATTACATTTTCTTAAAATACATAATTATTATAATGACTTGAGGAACTAATCAATTTATTTGTAGGAGTCCTTAAAAATGTCTACAGTTGAAAAGACATGGATATTTCGAAGATTTCTGGTTATACAAATCTAAGTGTTAATTTTTGAATAAACAAGCGATAGATTTTTCAAATTTTGTTTATGCCTGACGTGAAATTTATTTCAAGGAATCTTTGTTTCTTGAAAAAACGTAGATAGTTAAACACAAATATTTTCAAAAGAATTGATATCTATATGATATATCCTGATATAAAAATTCGATGTTGATCATCACATTATTCCAGTCTAATGTAGCTAGAAGTTTGTTGGTAAATAAACGAAAACAATTTTATTTATAAAAGTGTGTGACTTAGCACGTAGGCGACTGGCTTCCGGTTGCTGCTTTTTCAGTTTGTTTCTAACGGATCTAAGTTGCCGGCTTTTTCCCTTTTAATTAAAGCACCTATTTTCAATCCAACGATGACTTGGTGGAATAGGAGTGAACAGGAACTGGTTTGACTTGCGGCCAGACGCACGTCAGACAAGATTTAGATCGTTATTTTTATTTCTAGTCTCAATGCTCGATTGTCGGGTAATGAGCTCGGACCTTTTGCACAACAATGGCAAGAAACAAATTTGCTAATTAAATCGTTTGATTGAAAGTGAAACGAAAATAAACTAAAATTAATTGCTTTGAATTGAAATCGAAAATGAATAGCACATTAAATCGGCCTCAAGCGGTCTTTGAATCTTAGATTTATACTTAGTACTGTGTTGTATTTAAAGAAACAAGAAAATGTTTTTTAATCACTTTTAAGTTAAGATTAGTGCCTTAGCATTTTCATGAACTATTAATTTGTTATAGATATTTGAGTATACATGGCCATCATTTATATCTATGTTTTTTTTCTTTTCCAAAAATGATTTCTTAAAATGCTATAACTACACATGCATTATGCAATTCAAATAGCTTTAGTTTAACTTTATTCCTTTGTGAATTCTTAAGATATATCCGTTCATTATTAGCTCAATTAAAATAAACATTTTGAACATACCCTGTTGGTAGCATTTATTTAGACCATTTAACCACTTTCATTACTTGTGGGACGACCTTCAGACGAAATTCTTTCGATGCCAGCCCCCGCTAAATATTTTATTACATCATTTGGCAGCTGGTTGAGTCACTTTCCTGCCCGTTTTGACCATGATTGAGCACTTACCAATGCCACAATTATAGCTGTAAAGCTGAGAGCAAAAAGCTTCAACCTGAAAGCTCAAACGTTACTTGTCCATGTATCCATGTGGGGTGATCGGGCATCTTTTTTGGGTCATTTACCATGGGGCGGATGGAGGAGGAGGTGTGTCTCTCACTGTATTTCTCTATTTTTTTCCAAATGTGTGCGCTTGTGTCAAGTGCAATGCTGTTCATCGATCAAGCGGCGATTTATTGGGTTACTTACATGTCTTGAGTGTGCCCCGAAACCACGAATCCCCAATCCGCCTATCTTGAAACCGCTGATCCGCGGCGAGTTGCTCGCTTAAGTCTTTTGTTTGTAACGACTTTGGTTGCTTTGTCCGCTTATTCGTACGTCCGTCTCCCATTCATAACAATAGCGAAATGGGTGTGACTCGTGGGTGCAAATCATTTTGGGTAAATCTACCGATTGACGGAGCGGGAGGCATGCAAATGAATTACGATCGAAGTGATTTTTGTAAGCCACCACCACGAGTGAAAAAGTAAAAGAAAGGCCGGCGGAGAGACAATGGCCCAGAGATGTAAGGCCAACGAAATTTTCGTCTATAAATACAAATGCAGCGGCAGTTCAATTATTATTCAAACCACGAACTCCACAGAAGGAGGACAAAGTCTCGCTTCTTTCGCTCTGCAATTCGCCCACTAACCTCAAACACTCGCAAAATGGCTTTCAAGGTAAGCCAAAGCTGATGTAACTCCCACCTTGGCAACAGGGCCTAATATACATTTTTTGTATCCAGCTCATTGCTCTGGTTTCCTGCTGCCTGGCCGCCGTCTCCGCGGGAATTATCCCTGTGGAGCACCACGAACAGCAGCCCCAGCTGTACCAGGCCCACCAGCCGCAGCATGTGATCTACCAGAAGCAGCACGAGATCCATCCCCACGGCCACGAGGTGTATCCCGACGATCCCCATCCCAAGTACAACTTCGCCTACGATGTGCAAGACGCCCTGTCCGGGGACTCAAAGAGCCAGGTGGAGTCCAGGGATGGCGATGTGGTCCAGGGCGAGTACTCGCTGGATGATGCCGATGGCTTCCGCCGCACGGTGAAGTACACCGCCGACTCTGTCAACGGATTCAATGCCGTCGTCCACCGCGAACCCCTGGCCCATGTGCATCACAAGGTGGTGGCTGCTGCTCCGGCGGTGCCTGTTCAATACCACCACGCCCCTGCCGCCCCCGCTGCCGTGATCAAGAGCTACGCTGCCCCCGCCCCCACTCATGCCTATGTGGCCCCCACCTATGCCGCCCCCGCCTACACCGCCCCCGCCTACACCGCCCCTGCCTACACCAACCACCAGGCCGAGCAGCCCCAGGAACAGGATCACCAGCAGCACCACTACGCCAGCTACGAGTCCCCCGCCCACTCGCAGGCCGCCCACGAGGGTCACGAGTACTACCACCACCAGTAAGGGGCTCCCACCGCAGATCACCTGACAAGCGAAAGTATTATCCCGCATACATCCCACTACGATAACTCATTTAGCCCATTAATCTAGTTATGTTGATTAGTTTTAACCCCAATGTAAATATTTTCAATAAAATTTTCAAATACCTATATAAACAAAAGCTTTTGTTTCTGCAAAGCATTGCAGAGGATACCTGGAAAATGTCTTAATTTCAGAAACTATTCGGTTACAAAAGATTATTTTGTAAAATAACTCAGGGACAGGAGCAAACATATCGAGCCATTAAGAAAACGGTGTTTAAGCCAACTTCTTTTACTTATTATATTGTATATTCAAAATAAAGCTGCTATAATTAGTGGGTACTATAATTGTAATATTTAAATAAATTTTAACCTTAATATTGCCTAAAATTGAATATTTTTTTAAACATTTTCTTGAAAAATCATTTGAAATACAAAATCATTTGCTTCAATGTTTAAATACAATTTTACCACAAGCCTTCGCAGCTCAGCCAGTGGAATGTCAAGGCCAAGGCAATGCCAAATTATTAAAAGACACAAATGCTCCAATTAATGATTCGCATTACTCCACGTCCAAAGCCCCTAAGCTAACCTGATTAGGAGTGTTTTCATATCGGCTCACGTTCTCTTGGGATTACATTCTCCAATATCCATCTTAAGCAAGCTTACCGATCAAAGTTGTTTGGCAAAACCCCGGACAATTTAAAGTGCGTGCAAAGAGAACAATTGGCATTAATTTCATGAACTGTGAGATCTACATTTTAGGCACTTGGCTAGTGTTTCCCGATTGGTCATGATTAGCGTGAGCAATTCAACGCGAATATTTGCCCGTGCTCGATTTTCGCACTTCAGTGGAGAGGGGTAAATCGAGACCGGTTTTCGGGCAGGCCAAAATATCCGGTAGCAACAATCGCACTTTTTGCAATTTTAATGTCGCACACAAATTGAATCTCAAGTAACTTGGGACATATCTGCTGGTATCAAGTCCGGCTAATATATACAGGCTCTGACGCTGACGCGGGCCCCAAATATGTGTGTCCAATTGCCGGGCAAGACATAATTTGCTCCACATTTCCCACACAAAGGTCTAACGCAACCACATTAGCCAGACCTCTTGGCCTTTCGCTCCTCTTTGTTGGCCAGCTGGGTTGTTCGGTTGGGGCTTGGCTTTGGCAACGGCAACGGCTGAGGTTGAGTGCTGGCACTGGGGGGGATAATGATCGACAGCCTCGGCAGTGGCCGATGCCCACCGTGGATTACATTGAAATTATCGAAATAAGTAACCAAAATTTGATAACAACGGAAAATGACCCAGTGTGGTATAAGATTTCAAAAAATATTAAAATTATAAATGAAAAGACACGACCATTCTGTTTTTGCCAAATTAAAAGAATACTTTTAAAAACGTATGCCACTTTAAAAGTTCTGTTTATCTTTAAAATCTTCTCAACAGCTGAAATATTCGTTTTTTCTAGACAATTTTTAGTTACATAAATTTTGAACAAAGTGTCGATTCTTGTTTAAATTTAAGAAATAATTAGGTAAAATATTTCTATAGGGTACCAGAAATAATTTTTAGTATTTAATAATTTGCAAAAACAAAATACTTATAGGCAAAAGCAAAAAGGGTAGCATATTGATTCAACGCACTATTAAAATATGTAATAAATAATATGTAAGTTTTATTGAAGAGAAACTTCTTCATAAAATGAAAAAGCCTGCTCACCATAAGAGATTCATTTTAATATCCAGCTAATATCATTTGTTATTGATGGATTGGTTTGATGGATTGCTTAATTTTCAAATTTGTTCTTTTTCTTCATCCTTAAAAATTTTAACTTCTTTCCCAAGGTCTCAGTTATATTTTAATAAAATTTGTAACTGTTTCAATCGCTTTCTACTGAGCTACTTAGTTAGTTAAATATTTTTTTTTATTATGTAAATTATTTAATACCCTTTCATTGGACCCACTGCTACGGATAAATCAAAAACAAAAAATTTGTATATCAATAATATGTGTGTATTTGCAGGGACAATCGTAAAACTATAACAATAAGGGCTGGGGCAATGTGGAATGGCAGTTCTTAGTGGTGGTAGGCAACAGCAGGGGCGGCGTAGGAGGTGTAGGTAGCGGGGGCGGCATAGTGAGCTACTGGAGCCACGGTCTTGACCACAGCGGGGGCAGCATAGTGGGCAACAGGGGCCACGGTCTTGACAACAGCTGGGGCGGCATAGTGAGCCACGGGGGCGGCGGCGTAGTGGGCGACGGGAGCGGCGACGGTCTTCACAACTGGGGCCACGGCGACGGCCTTGACCAGGGGCTCACGGTTCACCACGGCGTTGAATCCGTTGATGGGGTCGGCGGTGTACTGCACGGTCCTCTTGTAGCCATCGGCGTCGATCAGGGAGTACTCTCCGCGGACCACATCGCCGTCGCGCTCCTCCACCTGGCTCTTAGAGTCCCCGGAGAGGGAGTCCTGCACATCGTAGGCGTACTTGTACTGGGGATGGGGGTCGTACTCCTCGGCGGCCTTGGCCAGGACGGGCTGGGCGTGAGCCACGGCGACGGGGGCGTGGGCGTAGGTGGCCACGGCAGGGGCGGCGTGGTACACCTGCTGGACGGGCAGAACTCCGGCGCTGGCGGCGGCGATCAGGGCGAAGAGGGCGATGAACTGCAAGAGGGATGGAGATTAGGATCTGGGGGATCTGGGCATTTGGGCGGGGCTAAATCCTCGGGGCCAACCTTGAATGCCATGTTGAATGTTTTGGTTTGGTTTGGTGGCTGCTGCTGCTGCTGTTGGTTGCTGGGAGGCGAAGTGAACTGTGAGGGCTACTGGGCCAACACTTCGCTTATATACTCAGATGGAGTAATTTCTTCAGCTGGCGTTGCCGTTGAATTGCCGGTTGAATTGAGTTGCTATTGCCGGTTGGCCACGCTCTTGGCGTAATTAGTGCAATTCATTTATGCTAAACGTGTGTGGAGAGGGGAAAAGTGTAGCATTGAAGCCGTGCTCAATCTTTGTATCTTTGTGTTTTGTCATTAAAATAAATTCAATTTACCCAAGAGATACGAAAAGCATGCGCATTGGCCGAAACCAGTTGGTTCACGAAACAGTTAATGAACTAATAAATGACTGGCTTAAAAACAAATTAACTTTTAATTTTTTTTATTACGGCATGCAAAAAATTATAAGTTAAATTATTCCTTTTGCAATATTAATACTAATAAATAATAATATTTAGAAATTGTTTTTTTATGTAATATTTTAAACTTTTTCTTCAAATATTCATAAGCATAAATAAGTCCTAGTTTAAAATGTTAGGTAATTTGGCAGTTACTATTTGGCAGTTATCATAAATTAAAGTTTTACCTGCGTTTTTTCCAATAATTTTTGTCAAATTAAAAATATTAAATATAAATATTATAAAATAAATTTAATATAAGCATAAAATTGTCTTAAAAACGGTATTATTTTTGCTAAAAATGCATTGCAATTTTCATCCCTAGAAGTATCTTATGCTGAATACTTAAATTATATACGTTTACCAAACTAGTTCAAGAAAATGCAATTAAGCTTAAGATTTGGCAATATATTGTACGTTGATCGGTATTTGATCGAGTTTGTGAAAAAACTAATTGAATAAATAATAAAATAGCAGACACTTCTAAGAAAATGGTAATTAAAATTGGCTTGGCGTAATCAAGTGCAGCTGGGTATTTCAATCGAACACTTTCAATTGGGCAGAACTGAAGAAGGTGCGTGACTATTTTTACAAGCCACCAGCGGCGTTCGAGGTGATGCGCCAAAAATGAATTCCAATTAGGTGTCATCAATGTCACCAAGTAGCGTATAAAATCCCATGGCCCACACTGGGTCAGACATTCAGTGTTTGGCTTTAGCCCAAGACAGCAGCAGTTAATCAAAATCATCCACTCAACAATGGCAGTAAAGGTTTGTGTGACCAGTTGGAGAATAAGCCTTCCCGAGGATTACCAGTGCATACAGAACCGAAATCCTGCTTAAAATTCAAAATCTTGAAATAGATCCTAAAGGATGTTTTAATGTTTATCCTTCAGATCGTTATCGCTTTGGCTCTGTTCGCCGTGGCCCATGGCGCCGTGCTGAGAACCGCTGCTCCGGTGGCAGTGGCTCCTGCTCCGGTACCCGTTCTGGCCAAGACCGTCGAGCTCGAGGAGGTGGATCCGCATCCCCAGTACTCGTACAGCTACGACGTGCAGGACACTCTGTCCGGCGACAACAAGGGACACGTGGAGGAGCGCGATGGGGACATCGTTCGCGGAGAGTACTCCCTTATCGACGCCGATGGCTTCAGACGCACCGTGACCTATACCGCCGATCCCGTCAACGGATTCAACGCCGTCGTCCGTCGTGAACCCCTGGCCGCCGTTGTGGCCGCCGAGCCGGTGGTTAAGGTTGCCGCTCCGCTGGTCAAGGCCGCCGCTCCCGTCGCACTGGCCGCACCAGCTCCCATTGTCCGCTCCGCTCCCCTGGCCGTCGCCGCTCCCCTGATCAAGTCCGCTCCCCTGGCAGTTGCCACGCCCTTCGTCCGCTCTGCCCCCCTGGCGGTGGCTGCTCCTGCCCCTGTTCTGCGTACCGCTGCTTATGCCACACCCCTGCGGTACACCGCCCCCGCTTACACCATCGCCAACTTGTAAATACTGAGGATGCGACCGCAATTAATGCAATCTGTTGTTTTGTTTCTATGATAATAAAATGTGATTTGTTATGTTAATTATTATTAATTTTTATTTGAAATTTTTGGGTTTTCTACGCGCCCAACAAAGGGCGGCAAACTATAAAACGCCTTACTTGTAAAGGAATTTAGTGGTAAGGAATAACTTTTGGGGCAACTTAACACTTTTTTGACTACTTATTCCTCATACCGAAACTATACAACTTTTCAATCTCAATTATGTAAACTAATTCTGGAACAGTATGATTTTTTTAAATTTTTGGATTAAACTTTCGACAAGCCTAACCTCGATTTTTTTTAAGACTTTGAGGATATGTAAATGCTTTTTGGGTTCTGAGTACGAACTATTGGTTCGAAATTATATAGAGTCCCCTTTTGAAAGACAAAATTCCATATCACCAGTTCTCAGCTAATTTTGAGAGGATGTCTAACTCATTGGGCCTATTTGATGCCAGTGGCACACGCTAAGTGATGTAGTAAAACATTAAACAATAAACAATAAAAATACAAATTTTCAAACGGGCTTGTAAAAGGAGGACTTTTCTCTGAGATTTGAATTAATATGGTTGACTGTATCCTATATCTGCCATATATATACATATTTTGTCATACTGTTGGCTTTATGCTGTCTACACTGATCATGTTGGTAAATCTTCCTGATCGGAAGACTAAGTATATCCTATAGATTCCATTGGAACGATCGAGCAACATTTTATTAACTTAATTATTTTCTATGAGTATATCTCGTTTTCTAAAATTGTAGATTCGGATCCATTCCTAAACCGAAAGTTAGTTAAGCTTTCGTTATAACTTTCAATTTAAATATCCTAAATTCTTAAATAGTGACTCCTATTCCAACAAGTCAGCAGTGTAGGTCAGTTCCACGCACTCTCTAATCAAAGTAAGCTGTCTGCTCTTAACAGTTTGTGTTGGTAACATAATATACAACTCAAGGCAGAATAGTGAAAGCGGCTGATCCGCGAAAAGTCCGCGGAGGGACAGACAGACAGACAGCCGGGTACCAAAACCCGAGGGTCTCTCCTATGACACTAAGCCGCAACACTTTTGCATATCTCCACGAATTGCATAAATGTATGTATACGTATATCTTGCTGGCGGCGTGGGCAGTTGTAATTGCCCCTTTTCCAGTCGATAAATTAATAAGGTAAATAGCATAGCAATAATACAATAATAAATGTAAAAAATATGATACGAAAAGTGACAAAAATAATTTTGCCCAGCAGCGAATTAATCAATTTCAATTCGTTATTCGCGTTTTGCTTTTTGCCCTCTTTGAGTGGGTATAAAAAGCACTGCTCGTGGACCAGTAAATCATTCCACATCTTCTCTGTCTTCGCAGCAGTTAACGGATAACCGACAAGCCCACTTCCAAACCCAGAGCCATGGCCTTCAAGGTGAGCGGTCCTGAGAGGACCTCCTGATCCCCGATCAGTACTTACTGATCCTTTTTCCCCGCAGTTCTTCGCTGTTCTCGCCTTCGTTTCGGCCGTGAGTGCCGGTGTTCTGCCCGTCCAGCAGGTGTACCACGCCGCCCCAGCCGTGGCCACCTACGCCCACGCCCCCGCCCCCCGTCGCCGTGGCCCACGCCCCCCGTTGCCGTGGCCCATGCCCAGCCCGTCCTGGCCAAGGCCGCCGAGGAGTACGACCCTCATCCCCAGTACAAGTTCGCCTACGATGTGCAGGACTCCCTCTCCGGGGACTCCAAGAGCCAGGTGGAGGAGCGCGACGGCGATGTGGTCCGCGGAGAGTACTCCCTGATCGATTCCGATGGCTTCAAGCGCATCGTGCAGTACACCTCCGATCCGGTCAACGGATTCAATGCCGTCGTCAACCGCGTGCCCCTGGAACATGTGAAGACCGTGGTGAAGACCGTGGCTCCCGTGGCTCTGCCCGTTGCTGCTGCCCCACTGCCAGTGGCCTACCATCAGCACCACTAAGCCGCCCAAGCTCCCTTTCAGATTTGTGGAATCCGTTGTAGATCAATAAATTGTTGAATATTTGTAAGCTCAAAGAAACAAAGAATGCGATTTTGTTTAGATTTTGGGCGGAATATTATTAACAACATTTTTAATTATTTGGCTGTAAGTACTTAAAACCTTTTAAGAGGCAAATAAAAAGAACTGCACATATGTGCATATGAGGAAAATATATACAGCTGAACTTTATTATGAAACACAAATAAAATCTAGTTCTTTTTGTAGCCTTCGTCATACAAGTTAAGACGTGCTTAAGCAAGACGGCAGTTACCCTAATCCCACCCAATAAACGTCAATGGAAGTGATTATTACGCGTTACCTTGGCTCTTCTTGAAGCTCTCTCAAGCATATGCATTTTGTAATCAATTTTCAGGCAGTAATAAGTCATTAAGGCCCAAAGTGATCGGGCGTTCGCGTTCGACCCATTTTACACCAATCAACGAAAATTGGGGTAGACATCCGATCGGAATGAAAAACGCATCGATCGGAACATTTCAATAAAACCATCTGCGTCGAAGGCTTATTGAATTTAATGCATGTAATGCGGTCCGATCTTGGAAACCAGTTAAGGTCAGTTAAGTTGCAGCTTTGGTGCGGCCAGAAACCTTTCGCCAGGTCTCTCTGCATTTTTTCGGGGCCTGCCTGAGAATGATTTACGCGACATTATTGGGTCCGCCGAATCGTTTCCCTTATCTGACCGACCGCCTTTCCAACGCGGACAAGTGCAAATATGCCAAGGTACTTTCGAAGAGGACGGCGGACAACGGACAACGGACAGCGGACAACGGACGGCGAGGGTTAAGGTCAAAGTCAGTTGGCATTGTTAATTACCGTTGGAGCGAACGGACTTCGCTACCCATTTCCATTTCCATTCCCATGTTTAGCATGGAAGTACATCAGATTTTAATGCCAATGCGCATGCGCAACTCGCGGCGAGGCCCATAAAGTTAACCAGGCGAATTACAACCAAGCTCGTGTCGCATTGAAAACCAGACCAGACGGACGGCCACCTCGCTTAAGCCCAGTTTACACGGGCTCCATGAATGAGTAAACGGCTTTTGGGGCTTCCCTCTTTGAATTTATATTCGCTGGAACTATTTTATGGACCTTACATTGGCCCGGTGTAAACGCTTCTGGCATTGCCCCTGCCCCTTCCCCTGCCCCTGCCCCTTTGTCGCACATTTCGTGCGTTCTTGGACGTGTTGGACCGCGGCTTCGCTGTCCAATTATGCGACATTGTTTCATTGTTGCCTTTTTGTGACGCTAAGTGCTATTTTGTCAGTAGCTGTCTCTTTTTTGTGCATTCTTTCTTCAGTGGCGGCCTTGAAAACGGTCGTGGGAGAGTGAAAGTGAACAACACTTTCTGTTTTAACAAGCCAGAAGGGAATTAACATTGAAAACTTCCTGGTGTGGCTTAGTGAATGATAATTGTGAGACATTTTAAAACAAGAGCTGGTTGTCTTCTCACATCGAAGAACAATTCAATCGAAATGGAAACAACGACAACGAAAAATAAACAAATTTACAATTTTATACCAAACACGAAAACCTAACCCTATTTTAGACATTAGGGTCAGAATTATTTAAAAATTAAGTTTTTGTCATTCTGAACAAATATCTAATGTTGTAAATATTAAGGAATATGTCAATTTCAACAAACAAAAGTAAAAACATTTATTATTTATTTTGTAAAAACAAGTTTTATCTTTTACTGTTTTCTGCTTTAGATTAAAATAAGTCCAATTCAAAACATTTTTTTGTTGTAATATCGAGACACACTGAAATAGATTCAAAAGATTTATCGAATAACATTTAGTAACCAGTGAAGAGATACAAATATAAGCAAACAACAAATTAAAAAAATATATCAATATTTCGTTGGGAAGGTAAAAAGTCCATAACCTACATCCATAATAATAGAAAATATAGACATTTTCATTCCCTTAATAATAATGAAATAAAAGTTGTCGAGTTTTGGACTCTTATTCCTGCGATTTTAGACGATAGTGCGATCGGACGACTGTAAGTCTTGAGGATTTGTAATTTATTTTAAGGTATCTTCTTAAATTTGGGCTCATGGGCACAATTAATAAAGATAAGTCTTTCCCAATAATACAAAACAAACTTAAATTGTATGTAATTAGACCACACATATCCTTTTACTATTTCTCCGCACATTGAAGGTGGAAAAATAGCTGATGATAATTAGCCATCAAATGTTCTAAGATAGGTTCAATAATTGAAGATCCAACCTTCCCAATGATATAAAACCAACTGGATTTCCATTCAATTAGATCTCATCCTTTTATTCAATAACAACTAACGGCAATTATCGGGTCGTGGTGGCCTATTCCTTGGGTTCGGGTACCCTAATAGGCGTACGAGATAAGAGGCGAAGCGAACTGGGTCTTGACGATGGCGGGTCCAGCGGCGACCAGGGGAGCGGCCTTGACAACGGGCGCTGGGGCAGCGGCGTAGGCGAGGGGAGCAGGAGCGGCGGCGTAGGCCAGGGGTGCGGGAGCGGCGGCATAGGCGGCGGTCAGGGGGGCGGCACGAACCACTGGGGCGGCGACGGCGGCACGGACAACTGGAGCGGGAGCGGCCACGACGGCAGCGGGAGCGGCGGCAACGGCGGCCACCAAAGGCTCACGGCGCACCACTGCGTTGAATCCGTTGATGGGATCGGCGGTGTAGTCCACGATGCGGCGGTAACCATCGGCGTCATTCAGCGAGTACTGGCCCTGCACAATGTCGCCGTCGCGGCTCTCCACCTGGGTCTTGGAGTCCCCGGAGATGGCGTCCTTCACGTCATAGCCGTAGGTGTACTGGGGATGGGGGTCGTACTCCTCCACCTGGGCCACGGCGGCCAGAGGAGCTGCGGCGGGAATGAGGCCAGCGCTGGCCACGGCGATGCAGGCGGCGAAAAGAATGGTGAACTGCAAGGGTGGAATTCATTAATTTGCAAACTTAAAACCCGACATCTTTAACTATATTAAATTGAACTTAGATTGCACAGAGAAATGTATCTTGTTGATTTCACTTTCACTTCGTTTGCACTTTAGAACTTTGTCCTTACTTTGAATGCCATTTTTGGTTGCTTGGGTTGGTTTGGTTGCTCTAGATACCGAAATTGGTGGTGAACTGATTTGAACAGCGTCCAACTGGGGCTTATATACCGCCTCGATGGCACTCTGCCCGGGTTCGATGTCAGTGGTGTGCACTTGCGTCACAAAACAACGACGACCATATCAAAATGCGCGACGCTCAAGACTAGAAGCGGTTGTTGCTGGAGCCGTACGGGGAGGGGTGTGGGGTAGAGGGAGGGGGGTAGGGGTTTGTGGGCGGCACGCTGCCAAGGCTGAGCGGTGACAAAGCCGCGGCGAGCATAATGCCTTCTTGATTGAATCGCACTTGAGCGGGCAGGCGAATTAATATTGGCCTCAGAAGTCGCATACCCGAACGTGCACTATGGATCCAGTACAGCTCTGCCCCAGAAACCCCCCATACCCACAACCCGAATCAATCACGATGGTAATGATGATCACTGTTTGCGCATTTGTTTGCGCTTTCGAAAAGTGCTCGCTCACTAATAGCAGCCATATCGTATGCAGCGCATGCGCAAATGCATAACAACGGTTTTTCAAATTGACTCTGCACTTGCAGCCTGCTCACCTCACCCATACCGATTTCCGATTTCATTAGCTCGGACACCCCCACCCAGCGACCTTAAACGTCTATTTCGGTGGCTGTCGCTCCAGTTGAACGCTAATTGGATTTCGGGCTTATGTCTAGTGCTGTACTTCCGAATGCCCGCCCAACAAAGAGCACTTATTGCGGATGTTTTGGCGGCATTCTTGCTAAAAATTTAATAATGGATTGAGTGTGTGACACGATTTTTTATGTTCTTACATGTTATTATTTTGATTGTTTGATTTTTGTATGTTTTATCAAGCGATAAGACCTAATCAACAAGTTGCTCGTTAACATGGTCTTTGTTTTAAACTGAACAGTTTTGATTGAAGGCCAATTTTTATAAACACTTAAAAAAACTTTAAATATTTTAAGATGAATTAAAAATAAAGCCACAATGGAAATACTTAGTTTTAAATATAAATTAGTAAGTTATGATCTGTATTCATACTTTCTGTAAAGCATTTTAAAAAATGTAGATTTTATATTTTCTAATGACCTAAAATGGAAATAATTGTCCTTTAATTAGATAATTACCTCAGCAATATTTGGCAATCGTATTAAGGCTATGTCTATGTCTATGTCTATGCAATGGAATCAAAGCTAAGCCGTTCAAATTAACGTATTTTATTCAGATACTGTATAGTCGCAATTGAAGAGCCGATTCTAAAACACATAAGAGATGGCATGGGGGTGATGGGTGTGGTGCAAGGAGGTCTTCAGCAGTGGCACATGGTGGGAGACGAAGGAGTGCGCTGGAGCAGAGTGGTGCACCACATGGGTCACTGGGGCATGCTGGATCAGTGGTGCGTAGGATCGATGCACAACCGCCGATGCCTGAGAGAGGGGTTTCAGAGCTGGCAACTTCTTCAGCGGCTGGAACTGAACTTTGGGGGCCACAACGGGGGCTTTTGGCTTCACCACCAATGCGGCACTGGAAAGTGGTTCCCGCCGCACAACCGCATTGAAGCCACGCACATCGTCGGCGGTGTAGTCCACAGTCCGCCTGTAACCATCGGCATCATTGACGGAGTACTGACCATGGACCACATCCCCATCCCGGGACTCCGATTGCGACTTCACATCTCCGGTCTCTGGATCCTGAACATCATAGTTAAAGGAGTAGTGCGGATGATTATCAAAGGTGTCCTCACTTCCGGAAGGTTTTGCGGGCAGCAAACCAGCTTGAGTCAGGCCAAGAAGGGCCAAAAACAATACAACCTGTAATCGGTCAGATGACATAAGTAAAGATCTTGTGATGCATTTAGAGCAAATTGAAGCTTACTTTATTTAACATGCTTTTTGTGCAGTAGGATTGCTCCTGTCGATTGCTGATTTAACACAAGTCCACTTCAGTCTGGACATCGGCTTTTATAGCCAACTGGCTGCTCATTGACCCAATGCCACAGTGGCCTGCATCTGGATCTGAGCAAGGTCATCGCAGGGACCTCCAGACCAGTCTCTTTCTAGACCGCCTAATTGACGTTCAGGTGCCCCAACAAGTTTGTCAGACAATCGACAGGTTTTCAGACCGTTTTTCTCCTACATTCGAGGTATTGGCTCCTTCCATATTTATATTGAAGTCATATTCCATTTTTATCAGGCTTATAGCTGAACTCTCATTAGGTTAGATTTGAGAACAACATAACATTGTCAAATTTGATAACCCATTACTGTGTTTCTATTTACAGCCATTCCAATATTAATTTTTCGATTCATCGTTTTTAGAAATCTAAGGGAAATATGACTAGAAAGACCAATTTAAGTTGCAGACAAACCATAAGTCGGATACAGCGCCCCCAACTCTAGAAATAAATGTTTGTAAAACGTTTTTGGAAGATAGTCGCAAAAGTTTTTATTTTTATATTTTTAGACCTTTTTCCCAGTTATTACAATAAGCGGAGACTTAATACTGTCGTCAAATATTCTTTCTGTTCAAAACTGAGGTGATTAATCTTAAAAGCCAGATTATCTATATAATTTAACTAATTTTCTAACAATACTTCGGATTCTAAATCAGTATATTAAATTTCAAGTAAGTTGGATTCTCTAGCCAAATGTAGTTATTTTATGATCAGACCAACCCACCAGATTTAAAATTCTGCAGCTGTTTATAGTATGCGTATGCAGACTACAAGTAACCAATAATCTAAAAGGCTGGCTAGATGCTTACTTATTCCAACGGATCAATGTCACAACATAAAAGCTCTTCCTAGAAAATTGTGGGATCATATTTAAATGCAAAAGGAGGATGAACCGCAGTTGTACTTCCTTATTATATTATTTGAAATCCCGCCATAAATGCGTTGGTTAAATCTTCATGCAACACAAATTGCGATAAAACCCGCCGAAAAGTATGCAAGTGTTTATTTTTGTGGTTTGAATTTGAACTATAGGTGGTGCTAGACGCATAACTTTGATTTTCAGATAAAAAGGTTTTATATTAACTCAGTTTCAAATATTTTGTTGGAGTGACACACTTATTTTGATTACATTTAATTTCATATCAATGTAGGGAACATTTTCATTTAAACAAGAAAAATATATTAATATAGGAACAATTACTACATGGATTTGGATATAATACACAGGTTTAGCAAATAAAATTATTACGGAGTCTTGGGTATGAAAGAAATGAAATAAATTTTTAATTAATTTTTTTACTCTTATCATAAAACCTACCTAAGCTGCGAGTCCGCCTTTCCCCCAAAGCCTGCCAATCAACAATAAAAACCGATGCCTAACCATTACTTCTATTATCCTGTTCAGCTGCGTTGTGCAGAAATCGTATTTCGCAAAGGGAAACAAGGGTAGACTGTTATTTTATAAAGAATATTCGAGTAGGGGGCTGTTCCATAGAAGTCTGCTCCGATTGGCCGCCTCACTTGCGAAGCGGATAAAGAGAGCGTGCAGACGGTTGTCTCGCTTTAACTTTATCCGATTCAAAAATGAAAGACTCTTGAATTGGATTTGGTTTAATGCCGGGTGCCTTTATTGTCTTTGCCATGCCGTTTTTGCATAAATTTCAGTCTTAAACAGTCAAGGTCATTCTCATTCACGAGTCCTTCGGAATGTTTACGTTGTTCAAATAACATGAACGATTAAAGTTAAGTGAACTAAATGGTCATATTGTTTAAGGGCACTGTATAATCCAACTAGAGAGTTTTAAAAGTAAATTTAAACACATTTGTATATGATTTTGTTCCAATATTACTATCGTAAGTCATAGAATCTAACTTGTTAAAGACGTTTTTATTAATTTCGTTAAGGAAACTGAATTTTATAAAATAAACCTTTTTGTATTCTTTATTTGCTGCTTAGTCACACATTTTCACAAAAAAAGTTTAAGCTAAGAACATGGCCGTATTTCTTAGGAAGTCAAAATAGTTTCTTGTAATTCTGTCATTTTCTTTCATTTTAAAAGGCCATTACAATTATGTCTCAAGATGGGTGCAGTTTCTGATTGTGAACAAACCTTTTCAAAAGGGCTAAATGGGTTTCGGAAATTTAAATATTTTTAATAAATTAATTTAACATATTATATTTCATTAAGATTTAATTTTGTTTTTCTCGAAACTAAGTTTGTACTACAGTATTATTTTATTATATTTAATATTATATATCTCCTATGGTAACGAACAAAAACTCATCGGCAAATATACACATCTCTTGTTTTCCAACATATACGCATAAAACTCGATATATAGTTGTTTTATAGAATTTTTTGTTTTTATTTATTTATATAGATGCAAGGGTGCATAAGCTGCCAAAGTTTGATTTCTTTTCTGTTAATTTTCTACTATTTTAAACTTGTTAAAAAAATGTTATTTTGATAGGCACTAGCGCACGTTGCGTACAAATTAATTCTGAAATAATTAACCATTTAGTATTCATCATAGCTTCACTGTCTTTAAACATATACCCAAAAAAAAACGATATATTCTTTATAATATTCTTTTACCCTTGCTTTTTAAGGCACTTACAACGCAGTGCATAAAAGAGAAACGAACTTGTAAAATGTACATGATCCTGACCAAGATTTTCACGATTGTCCTTTTGTTTTTTGTTCCGTCTGTATTTTCTTTTCAAGCTAGTCTCTCAATATGAATGCTGTGTTGATGAATTTTAAAAGTGTCTCCTGTCTTTGGAGGTAGTATAAATATGCCTACATATATCAAACATTTTGTTAGTTAATTGTGAAAACATTTATAAGCTGAATAAAAAGAAAAAAAAACTGATTTCGTTGCCTCAAAGACACCGACATATGAAGAATGAGGAATTTTCATAAAAACTTTTAAAATACTGGGCGTTGGCAATTACAGGTATCAATCAAGAAAATGCTGGACGAGATCCCCGTAAGGGGGTTTTGGAATTAGCCGAAAAATGGACATGTGATGAATTCAGCAACTAATTGTGGTAGGAAGCTTAAAATCCTATTCATAAACGTAATGAGCTTGTCTGGGTTGATTTCATATTCAATTAAGGAGGCGACGGACCAGTTAGCATAACTCTTGGCCACTATGCAACAGGCATCCGTCGCCGTCTTACCAGAGTTTGATAAGTACATTTGATTAATTAATCATTACAGGAGTGAACAAAACGCAAGAGTCAAAAGCTGCACAAAAGCGAAAGCCCAGAAAGAAAAGAATAAAAAAATGGCACAAATATCGATTTACCCAAAAATTACAAAGGGAACCCGAAAAGTACCGCCAAGTTTTGTTCTTGGAGCGGTGACAGTCGGCGCCGGGCAATCCATCAATTTGGTGCAGTTGCCAATTACGCCAGTTACTCGTCACGTCACGTCTCGAACACCGGCGGACAGCGGACAGCGGACGGCGGACAATGGACACCAAAACACCGGACAGATACGGGCTGCCGTGGGGAGACACCAAAACTGTTTAACAAAAATCGAATCGAATCAGCGTAAATCGAACGACGGCAGCTCAAGTTTTTGGAGTTTTGGAGCTGTAGAAGCGGCGCCCCCATCAACTTGGCGTCAGCTTGTGGTCAGTTTTCGACCATTCCGGTCGATTGTAAAGGTTTGACGCCTTTCAGGGCTGTTCGGGACGTCAACTAGCCCATATATCTTACTTCCGACGCTTTTCATGGCGCTAAACAGACGTTAATGGCGCGACTAACAAATCCCCTGAAAGTCAAAAAGTGCATCAGGCCCTTGACTAGACATGCATATGCACTTATAAGTGGGTGTGTAAAAAGCCTTTATTGTCGATTATGATTCGATAAATTATGGAAATATTCCGAAAATGAATTGTTAAGCTAGAGAGGTAAATAATGGGTTAATTATACTACACACATCTCAGATTATGATCGGAAAAAGTTAAAAATGTTTAAAAAAATAATGGACAAAGGCAAACAAGCAAGTATTTTTTACAAATTAATAAAACACATATATTTAAAAAAAAAACAAAATTAAACCAGAGGTAAAGAAGACATTTCTGTACAAATAATTTTAAATAATGATAACTTCTTTGATTTAAAACATATACTCCGACATAGTTATACATTGTATTAAAATCGGCTGCCTATATAATAAAGTTGACATAAAAAAAATTCAAAAATATATAAAAAACAAAAAGAAACGACATGGTCGGAAATATATCCCAGAAAACAATAGATTTTTAGGTGTCGCAATCTGCTAAACTGCAGGGAATTGAATATTCAACAATCCAAAATCAATTAAAAAAAAAAAGGACAATGCCAAAGGAACTAAACAAAAATGTTTTAAAAAAACGACATAGCTTTATTGTTTTTAAACTATACGTTTAATATATAGTAGTTGTATAGAGTAATAAATTTTTTGTAAATCTGCAAGGGTCCTTTCTTGTATGGCTAAGTTTAGCTAAGTCTTCAAGTTACTGCGACAATTTCCCACGTAGTTGTAACCATTAAACGAGAGCATTTTGCAATCGTGCAATCTCATGAATATTTTTATGCTACCAATCTTATTTATTTTATTATTTAACCCATGTTGTCCAACGCAATTATAATGGTTTGTTTATAAAACACTTATAACTTGTTATATAACTTATGTTCAAACATTAAAACTATGGATGCCACATAATTGAGCAAGGGGCATGTCCCTAAGAAATGTTTCTTTATTGTGGTTTGGCAATAATTATTAAAGAAAATATTATGCGATCACAAGCCATTTCATTACTTAGATACGACAAACAATAAATAAACAAATTTTGTGGGAGCGGAAGAGGGCATGGAAGAAGTAAAGAAATAAGTTGCATGTTCACAAAGTCATTACAGTATACCATATATTTTAAATTAATATGATTGTTGTAGCCCCGATCTTATAAATTTGAATTTCATGACGAAAAAATGTTGACTAAAAGTACTTTTATTAACTCTTTGACCCTTATATATATTTATTCAGACGATTAGCTTTTTAAGCGTTAAAACTTTAAAACTTGTTCACTATTTTAAGCGCAGTATTGACCACGAGCTATTTTAACCATAGCCATAACTTGGCAAAATGTATTTCCATTATTTTACAAAAATAAAAACAATACCTAAAACAATATTAGCTTTTAAGAACCTTTTGGACTGGATATTTTTTAAACTAAATAATTTTTGAATAAATAATAACTACTTATGATTTTGTTATTTATAATAACATATGACTTCTTAAAACGTCTAAACCAAAATTTATTTTGTTTCCCACATATCAAATGGTTTAACAACTACATTATGGTAACAAACATTTGCAAAATGGGGAAATATCACTTTACTCCCCAACAATTCCAATCCCAAACACAACCAAATGCTAAAACACGGCTACCTTAGCCCTAATTCATATAAGTCCTTGCTTCAGCCATGTGGGACAGTTTCAGTTTTGGGATTGGGATTGGGCCGAGTTATGTTGGTTGTGTACATATGTGTGTATATTGAAAGACACTCGCACACATCCTGTTCCTATTAATTGCTGCTGTCCGAAAAATATAACAAATCACCTTGGAGCGTTGGGCAGGAAAGGCCGAAAGGACGAAACGAATGGCCACTCCAGTATCCCTCCCCCTCCGAATTCGTGCGAGTGCGAGTGCGAGTGCGAGTGTAGAGACAAAAACTTGTGAAAATGTCAATCAAGTTGTACAAAAAACGAAAAATTCCCAATCCGAAAGAGGAAGGAGCGGACAACGAAGTTTTCCAGCCAGAGACAGCCAAAGATGATGCATTGTGCGTGAAAGGTGCATGAAGATATCTGACGGTTGTATCTCTATCCCTGCCAAGTGACAGACCCAGACCCATACACCGGATAACTCTAAGGGGCGCCTACGAATTGCATCCCACTGAGTCAGACCAGGGCCGGAGTCAAGGCCCGGAGATAATGCCTGGAGTCGGGGTAGGGGGAAGTCGTTCGACGACGATTTAAATTCCGCAGCGCTGCCATAGATGAGCTGTCATATGTGCAAATGACGATTGACAGCTGCCACAGTCAGCATCCGTTTGCAGCTCCTCTTGGCCGCTTTCGCAAACCAAGTCCCAAAACCAATTTCTAGTTCTCATTTGCAGTCACCGGGCAAGCTCCTCTTCGTTACCTGCCCGTCAATTCATTTGGGAATTTCGTGCGAGGTGCTAAAACGTGCCAAAACCACAAAACAAATACACAACATTGGGTTTCCAGTTAAAACAAGACGTCGACATGAGCATGGACAGGGGCGTAACTTTTAATGCTATCAGCGGGCGGCAGGGGCGGATTAACCGGGAAACGATCTGGGCCCAAAACAGAAGAGGTGTGAGTTGTAATGTGTATGTTGTGCAGAACTTGAAGTGGGATCGTTTCCACTACTTTCTTTTAATTATTAACAGGAAATGAACGCAATCTATATGATTTTAATAAATTTAAAATCATTTAATTCTGAGTATATATGCTCAGTATTTCCTCCAACAGTACTTTGATATAGGTATTGTCCAGCCATTCTAGTTTCATAAATTTATATAACTAATTTAAGCTATCATGAAGGATTTTACAAAAAACTTTTAAAGTATTTTTAGAAATCTATCCTGAATTACACAATTTTATTGCTTAAAGCCCAAAAAATAAAAAAAAAGTTTATGTCATTTGACGCTTAAGGAAATCAAGGTTACCTTGATTTTAGGTAATAAAGTTCAAGGCATAAAATTTACCTAACAATTTCTTTTAAGCGACAATAGCCTTGAACTTATGACCTAAACTATCAGTTTTTTTAAGACGAAAGTAAATGTAATATCAGACTTTAATTTTTGTAGGTTTTAAAAACAATTTTTATTTACAATTTTTACAGAAACGAGTAAAGATTACGGCTAATTGACATATAAATATGAATGAACTAAGTAAGAGGTAGTTTATTCAACAATAAGTGATCAACAAAATTCCAGCCAGATAATCGCCAGCTAATTGCATAGTTTCGACTTCCTTTCCATAGATCTCCCATCTTGAGTCGCCTGAAATGGCAATCCGCTCCTGACATGGCGACTAGCAAAAAAAAGACAGGGGCAAACGGAGAACGAGAAAATCTAAATGGAAACGGCAACTGCCAAAAACCGGTAGTGGATATTCGCTATATATGACTAACCCCCGAACCACTGCCACTGATAAGGGCAGTCATGCGGCAGAGCGAGCGAGATGACAGTAACACTACTCGTGAAGCAGCCACGAGTCGAGGCGGGACAACAGGCTGTCTGCAGGGGGGCGTGGCCTGGGTCGAGCGGTTGAATGTGGTCTGAAAGAAATCGGGTTCGGGCCAGTAATCAGTCACGACTTGGTAAGCGCGCAGGCAGCACGTCGTCGTCGTCATCGTCATCGTCATCACCATCGGGTGTCGTGTTTGCAGTTCGATAAAGATAATACCAAACCATCGTCGAACGTCGCGTAATATTCCCGAGAAGCAGAAATATTGCAAGAACTGTGCGGGTGCGGCAAAGTGAAGTGAAGTTAGTGATATACCGGTTACACCGAGGCTGCGAGAAAGTGCGGTTCCGGCTGGACAATATGATGGACGTAAGCAGCATGTACGGCAACCACCCGCACCACCACCACCCACATGCCAATGCCTACGACGGCTATAGCACCACTGCCGCGGCCACTGCCAATGCCAGCGGCTACTTTGCCCCGCAGCAACACCAGCACCACCTGCAGCAGCAGCAGCAGCAACAGCAACATCAGCATCTGCAGCAGCAACACCAGCAGCATCTCAGCTACAATGGTTATGAGAGCAGCTCGCCTGGCAACTACTATCCCCAGCAGCAGGCGCAGCTGACACCGCCGCCCACCGGCAGCCACCAGGTGGTGCAGCAACAGCAGCAACAGCAACAGGCGCAGGCACAGCAGCAACAGCTCTATCCGCACTCGCATCTATTTAGCCCAAGTGCGGCGGAGTACGGCATTACCACGAGCACGGGGGCCACGGGAAATCCGGGCACTCCACTCCACCCCAGCAGCCACTCGCCGGCGGATTCCTACTACGAGAGCGACTCCGTGCACTCGTACTACGCCACCGCCGCCGTGGCCACAGTGGCTCCACCCAGCAACAGCTCGCCGGTGACCGCCGCCAATGCAAGTGGCAGCGGCAACACCCAGCAGCAGCAGCAGCAACAAGCAGCAATCATCAGTTCCGAGAACGGAATGATGTACACCAACCTGGACTGCATGTATCCGACGACCCAGGCTCAGGCTGCGGTGCACGGGTATGCCGGTCAGATCGAGGAGAAGTACGCTGCCGTGCTGCATGCCAGCTATGCGCCCGGTCTGGTACTGGAGGAGCAGGACCCCATGATGCAGCAGGCCACGCAGTCGCAGATGTGGCACCACCAGCAACATCTGGCGGGGGGCTACGCCCTGGACGCCATGGACTCGCTGGGAATGCACGCGCATATGCATCACGGCCTGGCACACGGACACCTGGCCAACTTGGCCAGCAACTCGCACCAGCAACACCCACAGCTCCAGCAGCAACAGCAGCAGCAGCAGGCCCAGCAGCAGCAGCAACACCCGCAGAACCAATCGCCAGCGGCACAGCAGCAGCAACACCAGATCTCCGTGTCGCCCAACGGCGGATTGGGTCGCCAGCAACGCGGAGGAGTGATCTCCCCCGGCAGCTCCACTTCCTCCTCCACCGCCTCCGCCTCGAATGGCGCGCATCCTGCGAGCACACAATCAAAATCGCCAAATCATTCCAGCAGCATTCCCACCTACAAGTGGATGCAGCTCAAGAGGAATGTACCCAAGCCTCAAGGTAAGTGAAAGCTAAGAATTAAAGTCTTTAAGTCATTACTTTTAACATCAAGAAACGAACTAGGTTTAAAATTGTTAAGACTTTTTAATACCTAATCGATCTATGATTACGGTACATGTTAGACAAAACTGTTCCTTTTTTCCTTTAAATTATTTAAGGCCTGTTAATCACAAAACTATAATGTTTCGCAAGAATCGTGCTTAAAGATTCACGAAAATTACGTTTCTTAGAAGCTGTAAAACTATTTAGAAAACAAACCAATTGTTGTTTTTAATAACCTATGGTATATTTCTATTTACTTTTATAACACAAGGTTTAAACACGATTACGCCGATTTTCTGTAAGTCGAACTTGAGCTGTAAACGACAAGTGGTCTTACAAAATTTTTCGAGAAAAAGAATTTTGAATATGATGTAAAAGTTAATTAGCTTTTATATTCTTAACGAGCGACCCAAAGCACCCAAGTACTGGCTCCAATGCAAAGATTTTAATTTGGAAGAGAAAATTGTTATAAGTAAAAACATTCACAAATTATAGTTAAACGAAAAAAAGGGATTTATAATATAATAATTAACTTGGTAATAAATTGCGCAGGTGTTATTTGCCGTAGGGCTAAGCACCCAAACATAGATATCAGATTAAACAACAATTGATTTTTATGTTTTTACAATTTTCATTTACTTTGCCTAAATTTATATTTAAAGTTTTGACCGCCGTTAAAAATAAGAAACTAATAGTTTTTAGCTTAGTTTGGCTATTTAATCTAAATTAATTTATTATTATTATTAAAACATGAGCGCTACGTTTGACATAAAATTGTTTCAAAAGGTGATTTAAAAAAATATTTTAAAGTAACGTGTTTTTTTTTTAAATTTTTTTGTAAGACTTACGACCGGGACTCATTATGCAAAGCAAATGGCATTTCAAAACCACATATTTCGCTAATTGCCGCATTTCAGCTTTTCACCTGCCGGACTGTAAAAATAGTGTCAACTCAAATGGTCCGCTCAATAGATCACATAAAGCTTAAGGAATATATTAAGCTAATCAGACAGCAATTATGCAAACAAATAAACATTCTCTCCTATACGTACAAAAGATTCTTTTTTAAGAATGATCATACAAAAGAAAACCAAGTAAATTTAAAAAAATTATCAAACGATGACTTTCGAAACTGATTGACAGGCCAAGATACAAGAATCAGTCAACCAGTGAAACAAGAATAAGACGAATATGAACGGAGAAAAAGATTGAACAATAAGAACAGAAACACAAGTTAAATAAAGAATGTAAATAGTTTCTAAAAATAAAATATCCACAATATTTTTATGAACAATTAGCACTGAAGAAAACTTAGCAAATTTAAAGCCACTTGATGCGTCAGACGAAATGTCAAGACAGACGTCCAACCGAGGGCATGTCTCCTAAAAATAAGAATGTCTCTTCAAATGCCAAAGATTTCGCCCACCTCGCCCCTCCGTTCTACAGCCCCCGGCTACAGAATCTCGATTCTCCCCGATCTCCACGCCCCACCTCACCTTTCATAATTTTCGTCGTTCTCTTGGACTCTCCTTTTGGCATATTTCTGCATATTTCAGATAATTTTGTCAATGCCTGTGCAGTCAGTCAGGTTGTCACTTGTCACTTTGCCGACTGGAGTTTTGTATCTCGGAATTAGCCAGCTAAGAAAATGTATTTGCTTTGATAAAAAAAAATATATTCAAAAACGCACGATAAATAAAATGTTGACTATCCAAATGAAGCAGCTGCCACTGAAAAACGAGTATTTTTACTGATATTTCATGAGTTGCAAAATGTTCGAGAGTAAGCTTTTAATTGCTCTTTAAAGAGTTTGAGGTCAACCAAACAATAAATAATTACTGATACTGAATGTTTCAGGCTCACCCTGAGTTTAACATAAATGTTAGAGCAGAGTAGAGAAAAATAAGGCCTAATTGTAAGCTCCTAAAACTTTCTTTAAGTCGTTTTATATAATAACTTTTATTTATTTATTTAAAATTTGGAGGACTAATTTTATTAAGTACTTTGTTTCAGTTTATTTGATTGAGGCTTATAAACTGACTAAAGACCACAAAAGATATTGTCAAAATAATGTTTATTTATTTACATTATTGTCGCTTGTAAAATTAAATTATGTTCTTCAAAATTTATTGTCAATCCTGCAGGGATTAACTTTACAGGTATAACACAGGATTTTGCTACCCACTTTTCAATATTCCACCCCTCCATTCTCAAAACCTGTTGACCAATTTCAGTTGGTTTCTGGGCCTCTTGGTAATGCACTTAACCTGTTCGTGATTTGAGTTGCACAACTGACGCTGATCGCTGATATCGGAGTATCGAGCGTCGGACCACTTACAGTTCAAACGTTAATCCCTTGGCTACACCAATAATCATACAAATATTTGCTTATTAATGCTGAAAAGTGTCATTTACATGCATCGTTTTCAATTAAACGACGCCACAGAGACCCGGGTCGAAGCAACAGCAACCGATCTGAGATCCCAGATCGCCGATCCGAGATCCCCACGCGCCGCGCCCAAAACCCAACCAATTCGAGACCCAAATACGATCCCAAAAGACCCTCGAATGACGCGTGCAAGTGGAACCAGGCGCTAAGATGGGGAGCTGGGCGGGGCAGAAAGATGTCGATTGCACAGGGAAAAAATTAATTCTTTTATGATTAATTGTTTACTATTTTTTTTTTTGTAAATAACTTTATACTGTCATCTTTTCAGCCTATTTTCTGGCTTACTATTAACCAAAACGGCTCTTTATAATATTGAATGCGTTTGGGATAAGTAGTATTGCAATTACATCTCGCAAGACCTTGCCTGCCTTTGGTTTGGCTTAGAATCCCTCCATCTTTGACTAAAAATAAAATTCAAATCAATAGAACTCTACGTAAAATATATATTTTATAAACATGGCGTATGACTAAATATTACCACGTTTAATTATCAATAAGAAAATCTCAAGAAAAACCTAAAATCATTTCTGGAACATTTACTGTACAATATTTAATTTAAACATTCAGAAAGAAGCGAGTTGGAACATTGTATTTTCTCGATGTGCTGCAGGGACGACCGCCAGTCAAACAAACAATTAAAGCGTGCAGCCAGCGGTCGGGAGATGCAGCTCGAATCCAGAATGAAACTGGCTGCCAGGGGCGGGGGGATAAATTGGGGGGCAGGGGCTACTCCTCGGCATGCCGAACTGGAACTGGAAGTCAAGTTGGCTGTCAGAAAAAATGATTATTTAAATAAGAGTCTCTCGTTTGAGCCTCACTGCAACCGAACTGTCACTGAGCAATGATCTGCTGCCTCGTGGCTCCCCTGGAATCCCTGGGTGCTGCATCTTGGATCTGGGATGTTGGATACTGAACACTGAATACTGAACACTGAATACTGGATGCCGGGAGATGCTGCTCGCTGTGAGCTCCGCGCACATGCTTGGGTCCATCTGTCATGTCATCCATTTTCAGGCAGGGAAACAGCATAATCAGCAATCATGGTTATAAATGGTAGCATTCGACATATTGGCATTCACGCACAAACGCAGACGCGTACACCGACTGGATGTACGCTGACCAGTCTTCGATTCAAAGAGTTCTCTAATGTGTTAATCAGCATTTTTCAGTAACCAGACCACATTCGCCAGTTGGAGTAGAAAGGAAAAAGGAGCTCGCTTGCATTAAGATTAATGGACATTTTTACAGGGATTTGTCACTGACTAGGAATTGGTTTAAGACACACAAGCACACACATAAAACTTTCTACTTTTTCACTAACCAATATCAATCAATGTGCAAAATCTCGAAAATACTTTTGACAAGATTATGATGACACCTAGATAAAACTAAAATTAGCTAAGGCTGAACAAAATAAGCCAAGCGAGGAAACGAAAAACTTATCCATCATTCAAATGTCAGGGTTAAAGTATTTAGAACTTTTAGGAACTCAACGTTTGCGTACGAATTATGCGAGATTGGAATGGAAATCGTTTAAAATATTCATTCTTTGTTTTTAAAACAGTTTTAATATCTATTGAAAATAATCTGCACCAAATTGTTTAAATGAGGGTTAGGCTCTTTTATTTTTTTCTCTTTATCTCTAACAAATCTATCCCTTGTTAGCACCCAGCTAAAGTTTTTACGACCTGATATAGTGATAATTTTGTTTACTTTTATTAGCCTTTTGGTTGAGGCCCTCACTTAATTGAAAAGTTCCCATCGAGGCGGACCAGCCTTGTTGTGGTTGAACAGTTTAATTAATGCCTGGCAACTGGAAGTTCGCTGCTGTTTCTGTTTCTGTTCGTGTTTTATTGTTTTTTAAACGATCTACCACTTTGTTCGGGAATTTCGCCCACTCCCCCGACAGGCGGGTGGGAATTTCCACACGCAAAGCTAGTGCTCAGAAAATATGAAATATGAAAATAGCTGACAAAAGTGAAGGAAACTCGAATTAACATAAATGTTGGTGGAAAAACGAAACAACAGAAAACTTTTGGCCAAAAAGGTTGCAAAAGGTGTTAGTTCTATGGGCCACTGCAGGTTCGGGTCATTGGAGTGGGTCCTTCTCTTGGGTATTCAACATTTATTTGATGTGATGTTTTGATATTTCTTAACACCAACACGCGACGCGACCCGAAGAGCAACGAATGTGCCACAATGAAAACGAAATGAATTAATTACGTGCATTTCAAAACAAAAATTGGTAATATATATAAGCCAGAGCGCGGCAAGCGAGAACCCCGAAACACAAACCCTTGGACAAAAAATGAGGCAGACTATTTAAATATTGTGGATAGAAAAGTGACCACCAGGAATGCGAGATAACATCAAACGCTTGTCCAAGCCCAGCCGAACCGAACTGAACCAAGCCGAACAGAACTGAGAGCTCAACCGGGAGCCCCGCCCGCCTGTCTGTCACCGACATCGTCATCGTCACTGGCTCTGCCTCTGGCTGTGGCTCTGCCTG